TGCTCCATCCCTTGGGCATCTCCGCAGCCTGCGCTGGCCCCGCTCCAGGAGCTCCCTGGCCCTGCTGTGCTGAGGAGCCCGAGCTGGGCCCAGCCCTGCAGATGTGCCTGCCCAGGGCTGGGCAGAGGGGCAGGATCCCCTCCCTGCCCTGCTGCCAACGCTCTCCTGGTGCCCCCAGGATCCCACTGCCCTCCCTGTCCCCAGGACACACGGCTGGGCAGGGACAGCTGGTTGCCCACCAGGACCCCCAGGTCCTTCTCCAGCAGGTCCCCCCAGCCTGTGCTGGTGCCTGGGGTTGTTCTTATTTGTTGCTTTAAACCTGTGTACAACATCCAAACACGTTAAGGAGAGCTGAACAATGCCAGGATTTAGGTGGGGTGTGACCAGTTTAAAACAGACAAACCAGTGTCCCCAAAGCAAAGCAGGTGGCTGAGATTAAAAGGGAAAATTTCAAAACACCAAAGGACTTAGAAACAATAAGGAAGAAACCCAAAGAGCTGGCAAGTCTAAGAAACTGAAATCAAAGTTGCACCAAAACTCACTAGCTGACTGCCTTCCTACTAAATCCCCCTCATCCCTGATGCTTGATAAATCAACAATCCCAAAGCATCAGCTTCTCCAACACAAATAAACTGGAGTCAACTGGGTTCAGTTTTTCAGTTTCAAAAAGTTAATAAACTGTAAAGGTCCATGTCCATTCTTCGTGGTGAAAAATCTGCTTGACTGCTGAAGTTGATCTCAAATTTACAAGAAAACAGTATTTATCACTGGGACCAATGAAACAGTGCTTATATATATATATATTTTATATATATATATATATATATCACTGGGACCAATGCATTTTTATTCCTGGTTATGAAAAGCAGCCCAGTAATTCATGAGAAATCATGCTGAAGCATTTTGAAACTTAACTGAGTAAAACAACCCGCTTGTCTTCAGGATTTCTGCCCAGAGGCTTAAAGAGTAACTTCAATTCTTAAGCTCACTTTTAAAAGACAGACTCATTCCAGGTAAAGGTAAAATTTGACTTGATACTAAATTCCATTCAACTCTGGATAGGCTTTTATCTATAGCTTATATCCACAGCCCCTTGAAAAGAATAATAAGTGCTGTTTGTCTTCAGGTTATCTGCCCAGGAAAAGTGCTGTTACAGGTTTTCTGAACTAAATAGCTAAATGTTCTTTAGTTATGCTGATGATACATCCAGGATGGATACCCAGAATATCTGAAATCCCCCTGGATATTTCTTTCCAAACACTGAACAGGATGGATCACTGGTTATTGGTATGTGGCTGGGAGTGCTACAACAACAGGAGCAGCAGGACAACTCACACTGCTCTCAAGGCTGCAAAGAGTTAAAAACAAAGAGAAAGCAAATAAAAATGAAATGAAACCCTCAAAACCAAAGACAAAAAAAAAAAAAGGGCAGCAGGAAAGAAACACTTCAGCAAAGAAAAGAATGGTTTCCCTAACTGGATTTAGTCCTTATTTTAGGGAAGGCAACAGAAAATACATCCAAAGTTACAAGGACCAGCGATAAGCACAAGGAATAGTGACAAACTCGGAAGAGCTGCTGACAAAACACTGCACAGTGGCCACTTCCTAAACCCAACACTTAAAAAGCTCGCAGCTTCCAAAGCACAAGATATTTACCCTTGGCTTGTCTGTTGACTCTTTCTCCTGACACTTCACACACTTATTGCAAAATGAAGTCTCTTAGCAGAGTGTAACATTACAACCGAGCAGCTCATTCGCATTCAGGAAGCGAAATTACGCCCTCAGCACTTGCTGTGGGTTTTTTTTCCCCAAGTAGAACTCTCCCCATAAAATATGAACATGAACAATTCAAGCAGCAAAGTAAATCTCCTTAAGGCTTTGTCCTTAGCTTGGGGGGACTAACCCGAAGTAGCTCAGCTGAGCACAGCTGGGATTTCAAGTCCGACCTTTCCGACGGGAAGCTTTCGCGCCGCTCACCTGAACTCAGCTCCAGCACACCTGGACTCTGTCACCTGCGCCAGCAGAGTTTCCCAGAGGCATCCCCTCCTTCCTGTCTCATATCCCCACCCTCCTCTCCTGTGCCTGGGCAGAAAAGCTGCTCTTTTCCTGGTTTTCTGCCGGCAGGCACACAGGCAGGAGCGAGTCCTTCCCCTTTCGATGGCAGCAGTGAGTTGTCAGAGCAGCTCGGCCGTGTGTTGTAACTATACCTCGAATTTCCTAATCTGCCTTTCTATTTTCAACCAGAGCCACTCCCCCCCACCTTCTCTGCCATGCAGACAGCTGGAGACAGAGAGCTCCATTGGGCCAGTTTTCCTGGCAAAAAGTTATCCCCAGGCCAGAGGCAAGTGCGCCAGGGGGAGCAGAGACACTCCCGAGGTAGCGGAGAGGGAACGGGGCTGTCTCCCTTCTCCCTGTCCTCTGTGGCCACAACAGCTCTTACTGAACACACGGTGTGGCAACCTGGTTCCCCAAAGGCCCATCGCTCTCCTGGTTCAAGTAAACTGGCTGAGATCCCAATCAGCACATCCTGTCCCTAAAATCTCAAAGGAGAGAGGCTTAAACAAAGATTCAGAGCGTGGACTGGGCTGCTCAGGTCAGAGAAGGAGGGACCACCCTGCCCTCTGCAAGCCAGCGTTTACCACCTGAAACAGCACTTGAGAGCACTTGCTGGGGCGTCCCCAGGGCAGAGACCTGCTTCCACGAACTCACACCTCTTGGGGAAAGGTCTGGATTCACCTTCTCCTCCAGGTCTGGATATCTCCTCCTCCAAGGACTTGGTATGAGGTGTAACCCAGACACACGGCAAACCCTCACGTGGTAGAACAGCTTTAAAAAGCTCAGCTTTAAAAAAAGCTAATGTGCAGCCAGGCTGTAAAGTTAACCAAGCAAAAAGGGCACTTTCCTGAGCAGCAAGAGCAGTTTGGAGCTTTCCCAGGCAGCTGGAAAGCACAGGGCACACGGAGCACAGGCTGTGCAGGGCGCTGAGTCGTTCGGAGCCGCACCAAGCAGCTTTGGGGGCTGAGGTTTTCTTTCAAGTGAGCTTCAGCTTTCTGAGCTCTGCTCTCAAAGGTCTTATTAGGACCATCAGGAGACGCCTGAAAGTCTTGTAGGACACCAGGCACACCTTTGGATAAGACAGCCAGGCTGAGAGCTTGGCACCTAAACACACACGGCTTGGGGAGGGCAAGGCACAACTGCAACGCTGATTCAGGGAGCTCGGAGGTCAGCTGGAGGTTTTGAGTCATGCTCCTGGACATGGACACCTAGGACAAGCTTAAGGCCTTCTTGAGCCCTTTTTCTTTGGCAATGTTCAGGCAATGGCTGCAAACATCACAAATGAAGCTACTTTTGCTGTTCTCCATGTGCTACGTGTTTTCTATAGTTCAAGTTACTTGCATGAATAGACTCACTGCAAACACGATCGATCAAACAGTGAAGTGAACACAGACAGGACTCTACAGACTCTAAGTACTCAAATACCACAGGGAAATCCATTTCTTACGTGCCTACAGAAACAAAAGTCAGCCAAAACAGAAGGCTGGTGTGGAAACTGAGCACAGCAAGACCCACAGCAAACCTTCCCAGGTCAGATTTGAATCACAGGATCCAAGGAAACGAAGCTGTGGAGTAAAACACTCCATCAGCCATAAACCCATTTAAAATGAAGTCTCATTAATGAGTTACAGTATTTACAGGTAAGTAAATGCTGTGTTTCCCCTTTGCCTTAGCTGGAGCTGCTCTCTCAGGAAAAATAACACAGAGAGTAAGTCCTCTCCCATCATTAATCCACTGGACAACATGACTTTATTAACCAGTACAGAAACCAGAGCAGCAGCAAACACCCACACACGAAACCAAGACCTGCAAGTAATTTCACTTCTTACCTCCTGGAAAACAGGAGTTTCAGGGGCAAGAAACCTCTTTAGCAGCTTTTCCAAGCACCTGGCCCGTGGGTTAATGATTTACCTGACAGCGTTGTAAGCAGATTAGTTTGGATAAGAGAGGTTTTGTTATGGTTTGCTTTCCTGCCTTTGTCTGCGTAACCAAATCAACTCACAAATGAAGGAGGCAGAGCAGGAAGAAATTCATCCTCCTCTAAGCCTGCTTACCCCATCCTGCTTTACAAAACCATTTTTTTATAGACACACATGCCCATATACACACACACAGACTGAAAACCAACGCCTGGAGTAGCTCTCTGCGTGTGCATATACACAAATATACGTATCAAAATACACACAAAGATGAGCTACTGCAGGCAGTTTGTTTAGTTCCTCAGCACTATAAATCTATTAGAAAGCTTCCAGATTAAAGCCTTGTGTTCCAAAGAGGTTTAGGATGAGAAGGAAAGGCGGTTGTGCCCAAAACACACAAATAGGATCACAGCCCATGCAAAGACTCTGCTGCATATCCAAGGCACAGCTTAGGGATAAAGTGCTGTTCCCTCTTGCTGCAGCACCTTCAGCTCACCAAGAGGATTTCTGTGGTTTCCCCGTGACTCACTGGGCTCTTCTCCACACCCAGGGCCACCCTCCTCTAGAACCAAAGCATTCAGGTTTTTGGGCAGCGGGTGACACACAGGGCAGGCACAGTCACATGGCACTGCCTCAGTACAGCTGCTATAAAACCTCACAAAGTCTAAAACACCTTCTTGCTCTTACTGTTTCATAAACCCTCGCTGCCTGACTCTCTGGACACGGTTCAGGGGGACAACACAGGGGTACTCACTGCTGTCCCAGTTTTAAAAAAACCCCAAGCTAAACTAAAAACTAAGACTAAACCCAAGCAGCAAACAAGAGACAAACCACAAGCTTAACTGTCACTTTAAGGAAAAAAAAAAACCAAAACCAAAAACACCCAACCAAGAGTCCCCAAAAGCCACTTTGTAGATCTTACTGTATCCAAGTCCTGCGCCCAAAACACAACCCCCGGCCCTCCAGCAGCAGCCGAACACGCCTTTTAACTAAAACGGGATCACCCAGAGCCAGAGAGCTACTCACTGGTGGAAATCAGGCGGCAGAAAACAGCAGCCAACTTCTCCTGTTCCCAGCTGCCAGCCAGACACGGCGCTCCCGGCGGGATGAGAGGGAGACGCGGAGAAGCCTCTTGGAGCCGAAGCGTCCCGGAGCCCGGGATCTCGCCCAACTTCCTTCACATTAAAACATTAAAAGTTGCCTTTCGACTTCCCCGTGGCCGGGCTTCCTCAGAGCTTCTCTCCCCGCTGCTCGCCGGGAAGCGCCTGGAAAGGGAAAGCAGGAGAGGTGAGCAGTGCACTGGAGGCACGGAGAGAACTCCCCCCTTGGCCATCACCCCTGTGCGTCAGCAGGGACACCAGGAGGAGGAGGAGGAGGAGGAGGCTGGGAGGGCCAGCACGGCCACAGGGCTGCAGTTTCCAGCTGGTGCAACACCTCCCAGCAGCACTGGGTTCTACCAGCAAGCAACACCCTAAAACGGGGGGAGATTTATCCTATAAATTCAGGTCCGTCAGTCCCCAACACGCACAAGGAACGCCTCGAATCAGCGCTGCTTTTGAAAGGCTCAGGATGACACCGTGAAGCTGAAAGTGTCAGGGCAAGGAGGAAGGATTCATTTTCCCAATATATATAAATATCAGATGTTAAGTCCTACCCTAAAACCAAAAAATCCTCCACAACAGGAAAAAAAAAAAAAAGTCATATTTCACCACACTAAAAGGAAACCAACGAATTTCCCTGAGCTTCCAACCAAGTTTTTGGCTACATCCCGCTGCTGCCACCAGCAGCATCACCAGTATCCAACTCCTATCCCAAAAAACACAGCAAGGGCTGGAAGCACAGAGGGCTGAGGCAGCCAGCATGTCCTGCACATGGATATAGGGGGAGAGGATGGTGCCAAGCATCCCAGGGAATATGGGAGGGAGCAGAGGATATCTGCTGGCCCCTGCCTTGGGATAGCAGCAAGTTCATGTAATTTAGGACAAAACCACAACACAGAGCAGACTGAGTCCCATGTTGGAAAGACTGATGGGATGAGCAGTGCTGGCAGGGTGTCTTCCAGCAGCTCACATGGGAGCAAGGACTGCACGGAGCCCACTGGCCGCTGTACACAACACAGATCCTGTCCAGGAGTGAAGTCAGAGGTGTGGGGAGCAGCCTGATCCCACTCCACAGATGAAATCATGTGGAAAAAAAAAATAAAAATAAAACCAGGCACCAGCACGAACAAATAGCAGCATCAGATTTTCTGAACTCCATCCCAAGAGAGGGAGCCTGTTGCCAGGAATACCGGGGAATCTGCAGAGCCACATCGAAGAAACGCAGGGTGGAAAAAGTATTTTCAGAAGCCTCGCACAGAAATCCTTCCACACTCCTCTTGTCACACAGAAAGCAAGGATTTTTTTCAGGGTTTTCTTAATAGATCCATGTCCTTGTTCCTAACACAGGGGGACAGACAGTTATCCAGTGCAACAATGTGTTCACCATCAGCTCCTCCATAAAGTTCAGAAGCCTAAAAATGGTCCATGGTCAAGTCCAACTTGGCCCCTTTTATTTAAAATCTGAGGAGAGATAGGAAGTGTGGATGAGCCATCAGTAAGCTCCCTTTCTCCAGAAGTCTTTTAGTAATTGAGCCTGGCAACACTCAACAGATGCATCTGCCTGACCTCACCCTGCTCTCCAGGAGGGATTCTGGAATAAAACCGGTGATTACTCATTACCTAAAGATTTCTGAGGTGTAATTCTATCAGTGCCAATTCTGTAAATCCCTCCCACTGAGGGCAGATATGAGGAATCGAAGGATTAATTGGAAAAGACACTACAGGCCATGGACTCCTCACTATGCAGTGTCTACTTTGGGGCATCACACACATCACGGGACAGCAGAAGGCACCTGGTAAGCACAGGGGGCAACTTAATAACTCACTTCTGACAATGACTGAGTTCATACTTGACAGAAACGCTCTTTTGTTACTCCAGCAGATCTTATCTCGGCAATATTCCCCCCCTTGCTCCAGGACTCTGAGTTCAGTGACCTCAAGGCACGTTAACAAAGCCGGCCCTGTTTTCCCACGAGTCAGGTGGGGCCAGAAGGGAGAACAGAGGACAGTTTGACGAGTAGTACGGGTAATTAAAAGCAAGTTTTGGGAACACCTTCTCAACATTTACATGCTGCATGTGCCCAGACAGATACAACATAACACCCTGTAAAGCCCTAAACAAACAGAAACACAATGAACTCTTCCATGCAAAGAGGTGGGTTTTTCTTTCCTCCTACACAATTCAGCCAGGACATATTTAGCCTAAGGGCTGAAACAGAGGACAGCCTGAGCTGCTGACATCATTTTCTTTCTATAGGACTGAATATCTGAGAGTACTGCTCTCACTTCAGTGGCTGTTGCTCTGTTTCATCTCCACCTTCCCACACTGTGCTTCAACAGGAGAGGGACAATCACCACAAAAACCCCTGGAGAAGAGGGATGGTCACCAAGTGTTGATCTGTTTGCTCCTTTCACAACCACAACATGAGCAATGTGACACAACACCAGATTTGGGGTTGATTATTGGCACTGAAGAGAAACAGAGCTACTACCAAGCTGCAACACTGATGTTTCTTCAAGCACTGGCAAGAGAGCATCTCTCCAAAAGCCTTGCTGGGGAAAGGCTGTCCTTGCCTGGACAGCTTAAAATCTACCTAAACATCACAAAAAGTCAGACTATATTGAACCCACTTTTTCCCTACCCATCAGTAAAGAAACTGTACATTAGCAGGTGGAATTCAGCACTGAAGGTGGCAAGTAAAGTCTAGTGCAAGCAGTAAAAAAACTACTCATGATTACGGAATCACAAACATTCAGGTTGGAAAAGACCTCCAAGACCATCGAGTCCAACCTGTGACAAATTCTCTTCAGGGAGAAGCAATTTAGCCTTAACCACAAAGTGACTACCTGCTCACTTAAAGGAAACAAATCTCGTTGCTTATTATTTATACCAAGATTATTATTCCTTTCAGCTGCAAGCTGAGTTTTTAAACCAATTTTCTTGAGCTGAAATGTCTTTGTGAAGAAGGCACAAAAATCGAGGACACTGTTAAGTTTTGAACAGCTCTGTCAGAGACCTTTCAGCACATTTGCTTTATGGTACAGAAGTCACAGAATCACAGAATTCCAGAATAGTTTGGGTTGGAAGGGACCTTAAAGACCATCTTGTTCTAACCCCCTGCCACGGGCAATGAAGCCCTTTTTATTCAAGACTTAAAAATACCCACCAGGGGAAAAAATAAAAAAAGCATGCAGTGGATACCCCCAAAATATCATCTTTCCTACTGAAAAGTAACATGATTATTTACTGTTACATATAGTAATTATTATTATTTTACCTGTATAACAGCATTAACGGCCATTACAACTTCTTAAATGCAAGGCTGTTAAAGGACAGTCACTTTGGAACTTAAAAAAAAAAAAAGCCATTGAATTTACTTTAATGGGGTTCTGATGGATACTAAAAACCATTTAACAGTTGAGTTTGAAATCTGTGAAGCATTATCAAAATAAGCTGGCACTTCTGGAAGTTAAGTGTTTAGGTGTGTTTGATGACACAAGAGGAGATTCCAGAGTGCTGATGTGCTCATCAGCTCCAGCAATTAAGATTCCCAAGAGGAATGCTGTGTCATGTAATGTGTGACTCATAGAGCAAGTCCGGAGGAAACCACACTCCTCTCTCTTTTCCTATAAAAAGCTCAGCCTGCTTTCAAGTTGAACTGAGTTCCCCGAACAGAATTCCTCCCGTTTCAGCATCACTCACTTGAGCATGTGTGCAAGAGCAAAGGTGTGTTTTAAATCCCTTGCAGAAGCCTGGCAGCAAACCAAGGGCTTCCAGAAAAATCAGCTGGAAACTCCCCTGCTCCTCCTCCCTTAGGAAATACTTTGTGTTGTTGTATTTGGACACGTGTCTGTCCTCTGACCCCCAGTCACGGGGCTGCTCCCTGTTGCAACAGCTCTGAGGGATCACACACACCCTCCCCGTGACTGGAATCTGTAAAAGAGGGTGGCAGGAACAGCACTGGGACCCCCACACGTCCCAGAGGTCCACCAGGACATGGGATCTCTGGCTGTGGGTGAATGTGGGTCCACATCTGGACACTCGTGTTGGCCAAGCCACGCCAGCAGCTCCTGGAGTTGCCATCTAATCTTTGTGAGTGGATAAAATCCACTGCTTTTGCTCATCACATGTGCTTCCCTGGGCTGCAGGACATGTCCAGCCTTCTGCTCCTCCTGATCCAACACTGTGCTTGACCTTTAGATCCTCGGAGAAACACCTGGATTTCCTCAGGGGTGGCTCTGAACACCTGGCACTCCTCCAAAGGCCAGAGCAGAGGAAAACACAGTGCCACGCTGGAATGGCAACTCACTCCCACACAGGGGATGTGCAATCACACACTCAGTCCAAAGCAAGTGTTTAATACCTCATTTTAACCTGGAAGAGTGAAGCTTTCCATAAAGGAGAAAAACAGAAACAATACACTCTTTTCAAACTCACCCACTCAACTAAAAGGACATTTTTTCACAGGGCAGGTGTTGTTCCCAAGTGAACTGCATCCCACATCCAGCTGCAGCACTGCCAGTTTGGGAAGTGCCACCCCTATTCTCAGACCCACTTATTTTGTCCTCTGAGAAGTTTCGTTACCCAGGGGTGTTCAAATCCTCTGGTTAAGGAAGTCGCTGCCTCAGAATGCCAATTTGGGTGTATTTCCTCCAAACCCAAAATTTCAACCCAAAGGCCTCTGATTACAGATTGGTTCCTCACCAAGTGCTGTAATGGGACACAGACTGGTGTCCCACTGGTTTGTCCATCGAAACATTTAATTCCTTTGCTATTTGCCCCACACCTTGCTACAAGGCTGCTGGGTTTGTACACCAGCAGTTTGGCACAAATCAGGTGCTCTGGCTTCTATAAAGCCCTTGACAGACCAAGTTGGCCATTCCCAGGGACATGGCATGGAATGACAGATGCCAGCTGCTGTTGTCACCCAAGGAGCAACCAAGGACCTCCCAGGGAAATAGCCTTGCCTGGTTTAAGTATGGCTTTGCTGATGCTATCTCTGGCTCTTCAAAGGAATTTTTTACTAATCTGAAAGGATCTAAAGGAAACAACACTTTCCAGTTGAGCAAAATTAGCATTTCAAAAAAAAAACAAAAACCAACCAACCAGAAATAAACTCAGCCAAAAGCCAAAAACCAAAGCAAGAGTTTACACAGGATGATGT